TTTTTTTTGTAAGGGTGTCCGGGCCAAAGCCCGACTAATCCCCGACAAATTTGGAGGCTAAACATGGCCCCACTTAAATGTCGCCAACACTCCCCTCCCARGGYTCGAACTCGGGTTCATGACTATGCCATGCCCAAGCCTTTACCACTAGGCTGGAAGGTCTTTGACACATGAACATGTTTTATTGCACGGTATTTTTGGTACGTGAGTTGATCATCTTACGTTACGTAAGTAAGTGTGTGATGGGACTAAGATGGTCTATTTGAAAAGTTTGTTGTACGCATTTTCATTTGTTGCCATAATTGTTTTCGGTAAACAAAATGCATTTTACGGTTCGGATTTATGTGCATGGCATTTGCGGCCATTTCATATGACTACCTAATTGTGGTAGTGATTTTGTGTGTGCCTATAATTGTTATAAATATTTTATATTCCGTAAATGTTTTAAAAATGCAAATTGTCATATTCGTAGAGTTAATATACTTGGAATTTTTTTTGGAACTCACTAGAACTATAAATTTAAATCATTGTGTGGAGGAGGTTGTAATTGAGGACTAGGAGAGTCCTTGAGAGTTGAGATTATCAAATAATCAACTTGTGTTTGATTTTGGATTTCGAGATTTCATCTTGAAAATTCGGTGTACGTTTAAATTTTCAGGTATTAGATTTACCTATTTTGTCGATTATTAAAGTAGCAATCTTTACCATTTTAGTGTTGTCTGTTGAAGTTTTATGTGGTTGATTGCACATGTATTAGTTTTATTGATGGGCTATTTGGTTGACGCCATGTTGTCTGTTGGTAGTGTGCCATTCTTGGTGGGCCTTTGTGATTTGGAGAAAATTTTGGGATAATTCCCTAGAAATTTTTAGCTACGGGATTCAAATTCCCATATCTGGAGACAACTCTAAGTCGATATTGCAGGTCAATACAGTGTAAACTAGTGATGAGATACTTGTTGGTGTACATATATTTATGGTTTGGTCATTTCTTAATATTAGGTACAGGATTGTGACATTATGGCCAATGGCCACTTGGGGTCTTAGGTGACATCTTATCGAATTCCTGGAAATGTTGGAAGGTGAGTGGTAATTTCAAGGAGATTAGATTTTTGTAATTACGAACTGAAGATAGGGATTATCTTGATTGGTAAGGATTTTATTGTTTGGATATTCGATGCTTGGATTATTCTGGGAATTGTGCAATCATTGGGTTTAGGATAATCGACTCTCTATAGAGCGTATTAGCATGCTCCTAGATGGAACGGTTGGCCAATAGCAAGAATGGTTCAGTTAAGAAGATTTTGGAAATCCTTGTGATTGGTGTGCAATGTAGTTGTTCAGAATACAGATTCAGAGTTATATTGAGCCAGACAGAACTAGTCATTAGGGATTCCATCAAATGAATGGCAATGAATCTTTATGGTAGTGGCTCTTGAGGAAAGTTATGGTTGAGCATATCTACGTTAGGTTCATAAAAATTGTTTGTTTGTTAGAAGATTCGAAACGACAGGATTAAATGGGAATATCTAAAGTAGATCTTAAGTAAAAATCGTTTTATTGAGGAGACTTACATAGTCGAGGTTAA